TGTTCTCAGAATTGCGAGTTTATATCTCACAATTCTGAGTTTATGTCTCGCAGTTCTGACCTTATTTCTCAGAATTGCGACTTTATGTCTCGCAATTGCGAGTTTATATTACGCAATTCTGACTTTATTTCTCAGAATTGAGAGTTTATATCGCAATTCTAAGAAAAAAACGTCAGAATTGCGAGTTTGTATCACGCAATTATGAGAAAAAAAGTCAGAATTGTGAGATAAAAAGTCGCAATTACCTTTTTTTTTATTATTCAGTGGCGGAAACGGGCTTCCATACAATGGGGACAGCAACTGAAGGTGAGCTGTCCCTTTAAGATACAAGTGTAGTGTATGGGAATTGAATCGTTTTTGTTGTTGACATTTTATAAATTGTAACTTGCACTGGAATTATTTTATAGAGATTTTTCCTTCTGTTACACCATCAAGATTATTTAAAATTTTTTTTTTATTGCAATTCATAGTGAAGTATGTTGTCAAAGACACCATATAAAACCTCCTGTAGAAATACATGATCTGGCTTTGTTTCCTGGGGCTGAACTGTATCTTTTCTTTCTAAATGATCTGTGATCCAGATCCTGTCTCTGTAATCCCTCTAATGCCGTATAAACCCACTGTCACAATGACCTAAAGGATATGAGTAATCACCTTCTAAACCAGATCCAGAGTTTTGAAAGCTCTCACACTCTGTGGAAACAATTTTGATTTGAGTATGGAAAATTAGTCTATTTGACTTGTTGATATTTGTGGGAAAAAACAAAATTATTATAGGCTACTTCTCGAAATAGACAGGTACATTTTAATTAAGAATAATACGAATCTATTCTTACGCGATCGACTCGTTCAAACGAATCGGTTGAGTGAAGACTCAATGACTCACCCATAACACGCAAGACGCTGAATTCGGAACAGCGCACTATCATAAAACTACTCTTACTATTTCTGCCATATTTTTCTTTATTTAGCAGAAATGGAAAGCGTAGTACGCTATTTCAAAACCAGCCGCTGGCGAATCTGATCGAATCATTTTTTAACAGAACTTGTTTATAAGATTCGATTCATTGGAATGAATCAAATCTCCACCATTGCTTCACACACAAACTTCTCACAGATGCCTCCGCGCACTTCTCTCCTGACCTGCACGTTTTCTTTGACTTTTTAAAATATAATAAGAATGATTTTTTATTAAAAGTAGGTCAAACCGCTGTTGGGTAAGGTGTCTTCCAGTTTGGTGAAATCACAGACAGGGAGTGACGGATAAACGGGTATTTAATCCGCTGGCAGATGTGCGTTTCTATCAGAGCTCCGGCACAAGATTTAATCATTTCCTCGGTGTACCAAAGAGCAAAGACGTTGTCGAGGTCGACTGCTGCCAGATTTGAAGTTAATCTTCACAACGGACCCATGTTTGCGCACAGTTGAGCCCGTGCGCTCTCGGTCTCTCGGTACCGTTATGTCCTGGGAGCACCGCGGGAGGGATGCTCATTCACGGTGACTTATTCTGGAAAGTGATGCCCAGTTAGCACCTATGGATGTGAGGATGGGTGACTCCCACCAGTACGAGTGAGTGGAAAGATGCTGCTCGGATGGAAATTATTCCTGTATGGATACAAAAAGAAGAAGGAGATGGATGTTGAATGTTCCTCCTGCAGGTGCAGCATGCTGAAGGGGACAGGTGTGAGCTTCATCCTGCTGTGTCTGATGGCAGAGGTCAGTCTCAGCGCGCAGCAGGTCTTGAGAATCGGTGAGTAGGAAAATCTCTATTAAAGGAGTATCTCACTTCCAGAATGAAAACTCTGTCATCATTTACTCACCCTCCACTTCTTCCAAACCTGTATGAGTTTCTTTCTTCTGTTTAACACGAAAGAAGATATTTTGAAAAATGTTGGTATCCGAACAGTTGATGAGCACCATTTGGGATACCAACATTTTTCAAAATATCTTCTTTCGTGTTAAACAGAAGAAAGAAACTCATACAGGTTTGGAAGAAGTGGAGGGTGAGTAAATGATGACAGAGTTTTCATTCTGGAAGTGAACTACTCCTTTAATAACAGCTGTGTGCTTTTATCTGTGAATTTACAAGATGCATTTTGTTGTTGATGTTGTTGTTTATTTTGCCTTATTCAGTGGCTTCAATCGTATTTAAACTCTTAAAATGAGTCTGAATGTTACTGCATTAGATAACAAGCCAGAAATCAACTTCTTTAGGTTTTGTTGCTAAGTGTCACATGCCTGAAATATGCTCACTTCTGTTCGATAAAAGTATAATTTTGGAGAAGTAGTTGGACACTTAGTCACTTAAAAATGTCTGGATGTCATTTTATTCGATTAAATATCAAAAAAGTTACATTTATTTTAAAGAAGTAGGCTAGCACAAGCACATTTCGCAAGCAGAATGCTCACAGAAAAGAAGTAATCTGTAAAATGAATTGTCTTTGTAAATAAAACAAAGATTATTGGAGTATGTTTTACAAGAAAATACTATTTCAGTCTTTCTGCTTAAAAATGTCATTAGATTTCATGTGTTGTTGTCATTTCTTTGTAATAATTTGTGAAATTTACTAGCAGTTTATGAGTGAAGATTAAAAAAGCAAATTATATACCACATTTTTTTTAGTATATTTTTAATAAAACAATGGCTATAACGACACCTGTGTGAATATGAAAAGAACTGACTTGATAAATCCACTTAAAATCATCAAAGCACCAGTTGATTGACAGTAACAGTAACATTGATGAAGAAGATTTTGGTTCATTTTCTGCAGATGCAATTTGATATTTTCTTATCAAATGTAATGACATTCAGACATTTGGTGCAACTTGAGTTAGTTTTTCTTGACAAAACTTTGAAGCCTGAATTCATTTTGGTGCCTTTTGGTTAACTTTTGGATTGCATTTGGCTTTTCTTATTAGAAATTCTTATTTTTAAACAATCTTTTGTTATGTAAAGCATGTGGTTGGCACTGGTGAGTGCAACTCTTGTTGGATAGTAAACTAGATTTATCTACTTGGAATCATAGTCGAGTCTTATGATCACATTGGCCCAATTTGAACTTGGCCACCAATCCTATCTATATAACAGAATATCATTCAACCTGAGTTCTCAACCTAAGTCATTAGTTTGTGTTTGCATTTGAAAATGGTTTTGCATTGATGTCCATTCCTTCTAATCTTGATTTGTCAGTCTTGAGGTCTTTTGAGATAAAGCATGGACAGATATACTGAAATGCAGAGGTCAAACTTCTGTTAACAGTTTCTTATGATCTGTTGTAGGTTTATTGAGGTTTCTAAATTAATGCACTTCAGCCATGAATGTCATAAGTTTGGTGATGCTGCATAACTCATGTAAAGATTGTGTGGTATTGTTCACAACATAGTTTGGGTGTTAATAGTGAAGTCATGTCATTTAACCAGTTAAATAACAGTTAGAATGATTGGTATCAGAGGCGGTTAATAATTCTCTTTGAGGTCTTTTCATAATGTTCTGTGTGTGTTTAATCCGCCTGTATAATTTCTCCTGGTTCGAGGTCGAATCTAATCTTTGTTTCTCTGCAAACCTTTAATCTGCTCCATATGGCTGCTGTTTCAATTAGTCCTCTCAGCTTTTGCTGGGTTAGAAACCCAGTAGCTAGGTGATACTGGAAAATCGTCCCCGTTAAGCATGTTAAACGAGCTGGGCTAATCTGCTTTCTGCTCAGAGACCCTCAGAGTGAGGACTGATGCCCGGCATCCAGAAAAACCCTTCACAACACTGCGAGGATGCATGAGTTTAGCAGTTTGATTGAGAAATGTAGAGTATTAACAGTTTGGTAATGAGATGCTGTCTACAGTTTATGGTGTGAAAAGATGAATTTTATGAATCAGAATGTTTTACATTTTATTTAAACAGACTCGTTTTGGAAGCTAGAAAAGAGATGACCAGGTCACATTTCACCTTAAAATCAAAACACTCAAAATCAATTATTTATTTCCTTAATGATTTAATTGTTTTGTTTCAATTGTTTTATATGAAAATATTTTATTTTATTTATATATATTAAAAATATATGATTTAAAAATTATTTTATAATAATAAATATCATATCAATTTATATATGCACATATATATTATAAATGAACAAAAATATAATACATTTGTTTATATAGTATACAGTGGCATGCGAAAGTTTGGGAACCCCTTGCAGAATCTGTGAATATGTGAATAATTTTAACAAAATAAGAGAGATCATACAAAATGCATGTTATTTTTTATTTAGTACTGTCCTGA